AAAAACCCTCAGTATTCAAAGACTTAGACTAAGAAGATTAAGTCATTTTTGAACACGAGAAGTTTGAGGCTAAACAGCTGATTATTAGAATTGTTGTTCCCAAATAAACCGTCAGTCATCTTAAACTATTTTTTTAAAGAAAAGAAAAAAAACTAATAATTTCTGGTACAAACAAGAGGTTACTAACTTTAGGATTTACTCAGTTAAACAAATGTTAAATATTATAGAGTACTATACAAAAGTCTTGAGCCACTCCAGCAGTTCTCCAGGCCTTTCAAAGTTATTTGGCTGCCTTTTCACTCATTTTCAGTCCGGTTCTTGTTACCAAACCATTTTCAAGCCACTTAACACAAACCTATGATTAAGTCAACCATAAAAAGGTCCCCAACTCAAGGGATGAGCCGGTGCTTTGTCTACACATAACAGACGACTTGGCAAAGGACCAATTTTATATAGTATTTTTAGGTACTTTGTCACTAGCACGTCTGACAGGCATAAAATAGTATTTTTGCTCCATGATAGTTATCCCCAGAGAACTATTAGTGAAAATGCATGTTGTGCAGCGTGTCTTAAAAAATGAGGAAACAGGCAGGCCTAAGAAAAAACAAAACAAATGAGAAACACTACCTACAGCAGATGAATAGTATGTGAAAGTCATGCCCTTAAGAAACAGAAAACAAATCCAGCAACGCCCTGACACAGGACCTGAGGGATGCATCTGACCCGTCAGCTGGACCAAAGTCTTATCAGAAAGTGTCTCAGTGGAAGAGTGGCAGTTATAGGACAGATATAGGGACTTATCACATCACAACCTCAATACTACAATATAGCTGATAGAGAAGCAAAATAATAGTAATGATGATACTAATGATAATATAATCATTTCAACTGCTAGAACAAATGAAACTCCCAAATATGATCTGATGGGAGACCTTTGTCAGAGCAGGTGACCCAACCAGGCTGATTAGGAAGTCGGGATCTGTGATTGGCTGCATAGTGAAGAAAGGGTCCGTTTGAATGACGCTCTTGCAGTTGTGAACAGGAGTTCTGCATCCAAGTGTTTGTACCTGCTGTGTGACGCGTTGCCTGCATTTGACTGTGCTGATGTTATCCAACAGAGGAATGTCTGGAGATGTCTCCTTATTCAACTCCAGTGCAGTTGCCGTGGCAACCTGATGACACAATGGCTTGGTGGACCCTCTGATATAATACAAGAGAAAAAAAACGCATCAAAGTCCCAGTTCAGTGCGTCTCCTGTCTGGATGGCTTTCTCGCGCACGCTTCCTGCCTTATCCTCACTCTGCTCATCCACGTGCGCACACTTGTGCAGCACTCACCATAATCGCTTAGTGAAGGATGCAAAAGGACAGTTTAATCACAGCAAAGCAGCTGAAACACAGTGAAAAAATACATGTAAGTGAAAGAGGGAGACTACCATGTTTTGAATTGTCTAATCCATGCGGTTAAATCGTGGTTAAAGCCTCTTTTTTCTTTCTTTAAGTGCTCTTTTGGGTTTGAGTTCATCTTTTCTTTGTTTTACTCAGAATCCCCGAAGTTCAGACTCAACAACAAATTATTTTTCCTGTAAGGACTGTCTAGCACATAAGTGTTCAGAGCTCACATTATCTTCAACCACAGTTTTTACCCAGGTTTGATCGCTCCGCCGGGATGACCAAGACCAGGACACGTTTGGTTCAATAGCTGGAATAGATCAGCGCTCTGGGAAGAGTGTGTAGAGAGAAGTGGGACAATAAAGGAGAAGTAGCGCTATATTAAGTTAAAATTAATTTAATTCAGTTTATTCTTATTTTTCTTTCTCCATTTTATCCAAATTGACAAGGAGACAACCATAAAACCCCGTGTAGCAAACATCACTACACATCTGTGTTATGTTTGTCTATGTTCAGGCTTGTTAGCAACACAAACACACTTTTCTTTCTGTTTGAGTGAAACAGAATTGACAGATTTTTTTTCGGCCACTTGGGGGCAGCGGAGACAAGTTATGAACACCATCATGACCTTGTTGCCAGCTGGTTGTGTAGACCTACAGTATTTGTATTACTGCATCATTACTTATGAACTGCCTCTCACTTTCTCAGTCTTAGAATCAGTGTAGCCACTGATAAGTTCATCAAGTGACCCTCATTTTAATTGAAAGATCTCTTTTTCAAGAGAGACCTTTTACAAAAAGTGTCTCCCTGACACAGCTACATAACAAAAAAGACACATTATTCACAAATTAAGAAGAACTTGTGCAAGAGTAGATCTGTGAAAACAGGCTTTTTAAACGTGGAATCAGAGCAGCTTCATAGTTTGGGTTTTTTTGTAGCTTGTTCCTATTTTTCCAAGTTCAGTGTACAACAGGTACGAGAACATCTAATGTCAAAATGTCCTGTAACCTCACATTGTAAGTACTGTGTTTCCCATCCTCTCTTTATATAAGATAAATAACAGGTAATATCACAGTCACATTGTTAGAGATTGATTATTAGGTGTGCTGTTTAACTGACCACAACCTGCTTTTATATATTTAGTTTATATATTTAATTTTCTCTCTTTGTTTAACACAGTTTTTTATTTTGTATTGTAAATCTTTTTATATCATTAACATATATTTTATTTGCATTTTAGATATAATTCCAGTTTTCCAGGTGAAATAAAATTCTGGTAGATATTCTGATGTATACTGTGGTACACGCACCGTTTGTGCTATAAATAAATGTATAAAGTTATAAACTTAAATTTTCTAAGTTGAGGGTTTTGCTGTACAAAGTGATTGTAACATTTTCTGGAACAAATTTAGGGCTTCGCTACAATTTTACGTAACATGCTACTTTTTTTAAAAGCCATTAAATGTTTCACTGCGGTCAAAGGAAGCGCGATGACCCCAGTTGGAGCCTCGCGGCTGAGCTGAGTGTGCCTGCCATTAACTATAACTGCTCTGAAGTGCAGGCGATTACTGTAAGGAATGACATTACACAACAGCAGTGAGGGAAAAACACACGTTTGTCATCACAACGTCTCACGCAAGCCAAAGGGATTGTTAACATGTGCTGCGAACCTCTGGTTTGGCTGCGCGAGGGAAACAAACGGTTTATAAACTTTACCGGAGGGCTCGGTGACGCAGCTGTGAAGAAACGAAAGAACAAGGAAGTGCGATGCAGTGAAACTGATAGTTCTTCAGGAAAAGAAACTCTGATTCTCAGGAATTCCCCTCATTTAGTCAGTGGGATGAAGAAATGACAGCTTATTTTTTAAATTGTTTCTCGTGTTGGTGAGTCAAAGGAAAAGATGTTTGGTTGGTGAACATCACAGCCTTTAAGATGGTTCGTGCCGAGCTAGTCTGTGTTTATGTCTTATGCTTTTTATCGTTATCTAGCTTTTTAAATGTCACAATAAACACGACTCTTTCCACCTGTTCATCATTAAAGCCAATGCAGAGAAAGATAGCTGTC